TCTGAAAAAAAAATGAAAAAAAAAATTATAAATGTTCGGCAGTACAGAGTCGAATTAAATGAAATTGCTCGATGTTGGCCAAATATACGAGTTCGACTCTTACAAAACGAATACATTAAAATAGTCCGACCGTAGTATGTTGAATAAGTGCATTTTGTTCGACCGTAGTATGTTGAACAAATGCACTTTGTTCGACCGTAGTATGTTGAAGAAGTGCATTTTGTTCGACCGTAGTATGTTGAACAAATGCATTTTGTTCGACCGTAGCATGTTGAACAAGTGCATTTTGTTCGACCGTAGTATGTTGAACAAATGTACTTTGTTCGACCGTAGTATGTTGAACAAGTGCATTTTGTTCGACCGTAACATGTTGAACAAGTGCATTTTGTTCGGTTGTTGTTGGTCGAACATTCATTATGCTCGATTGTAGTTAATCGAACAAATAATAAGTCGATCAACGATATAATGTGGCTCTGGTGAACCGAACTGTACAGCAAGGAGACGAAAACGAAAACAAAAACAACAAAAAAATAAAATAAAATAACCTCTTCCTTGTTCCATTGTTGTGAATCAAAGTTGTCAGATTCATTCTTCATTGAATCCATTCAAAATCTTCAATAATATTATATTTTTGATTATTTGTTGAAGAATTTTTGGTTTTGATTTTAGGGTTTTTGTATTCTTAACAAAGAAGATACGTAAGGAACAAGTTTGAATTAATGATTTATATTATATTGATTCTTGTCCTTTATAGTAAATATATAAATGGTGTGTATTATAATTTGTCCTTAATAGTCATTTCATTTAATGTTAAAATTGTAATAAAAAATAAATTAATTAATGGTTTGCCTTGAGAGAAAAGGTGGTGTGTAAATAGAGCCACCCCTATAGTAGTCCTTAGATCTTGTGTTACTTTACTTTTTAATTTTTCAATTGTGACACATATGACCTTAAATTTTGAATCTTGTTTCAAATAAGGACAATTGAAGATATCATTAGATTTTTCAAGGATAAAATTGTCAATTTAATAAGATATAAACTAATTTAACAAAAATAAATATCAAACAAATATTTTTGAATTTTTAAAAATTATTTCTATTCACTAAAAATAAAATTATGTAAAATTGATAAATCTTTTAGACATTTATTTAGTTTTTTTTACTAAATTAATTTTTATTATGTGTTTGGATGATGATCATGTAAAATTAATTTTAAAAAATTAATCATGTAATTTTTATTAATTTTACATAATTTTATCATTTGTGGATAAAAATAATTTTAAAAAAATTAAAAGTATTTTTTTGACATTTATTTTTGTCAAATTAATTTATATTTTATCAAATTGACGATTTGACTCTTGAAAAATCTAATGATATTTTCAATTGTCCTTATTTGGAACAAGATTCAAAATTCAAGATCAAATATGTCACAATTGAAAAGTCATGGATCAAAATGACACAAGTCCCAAATTATAGAGATTATTAGTGTAATTAACCCTATATAAAATTTAATGATTGAAATATTATTCTTTTATTAAATTTATTTAATAAAAATAAACAAACAATTTAAATTGAAAATAATAATAAATTAAAATTTTAAAATTTTTTTGTTATATGAAATTTTTGTTTTAGCGCACGCAAGCCGTGGTGGTGGATTCTAGATTGTTCCTTCCTTCCCAATCGCACTGAGAGAGAGAGAGAGAGAGTCACTGACACTCGCAAATGGCGACGATTGCCCTATTTCTCTCTAACTTCCATTCCTCTCTTTCCCGCCACTACCCCAACCTTCTCTTCTCTCCCTCTCGCTTGCTCTTCCATCTCCCCATCCCCACCACATCCCCACCATCACCATTTCTATACCTCCTAACCTCCTCCTCTTCCTCATCATTCACGAGACCATTCAGCAGCAGAAGCAGAAGCAGCAGCTTAGAAACATCACTTCAAACACCCAATAATCGCAACCCCAAATTAGTCAATTTCTCTTTATCAGATTCCGATTCCGACAACGACACCGCTGCTTCTCCGCCGCCGTCGAAGGTCATCGACAAGACCAAGCTCCCTCCGCCGTACGACCCCTTCAACAAAAAATCAGCGATAGAGGAGCCCAAAGACCCCAAAAACCTGCAAGAAGTGTTCCACAAGATAAGCAAAGATGGACTCTTCAACAATGCAGTCAAGATGTTCGACGCATTGTCCAAAGACGGTCTCACCCACGAAGCTCTCGAGCTTTTCCGCCAAATCAATGAAAAGGGTCACATGCCCGACGTGGTGGCCCACACCGCGGTGGTTGAGGCCTACGCCAATGCGGGCCAGGCTAGAGAGGCCTTGAGGGCATATCTCCGGATGCTGGCATCCGGAGTGTTGCCCAATGCGTATACGTATGCGGTGTTAATTAAAGGGCTTGCAAATGATGGGAAGTTGGTGGGGGAGGCGAAGAAGTATGTGGTGGAGATGATTGGGAAGGGGATGAGGCCCAATGCGGCTACTTATGTGGCGGTTTTCGAGGCATTTGTGAGGGAAGGGAAGGTGGAGGAGGAGGGGAGGGAGTTTTTGGAGGAGATAAAGGCGCGGGGGTTTGTACCCAACGAAAAGGCGGTCAGGGAGGTTTTGAGGGACAAGAGGGGACCAGTGGTTCGAACCATCATGGACTTGCTCTTTGGGAAGTAGGTGGATTGTGCTTATTGAAATCTCATGTTCTATGAACTGTGGATTTGTCTCTCTTGTTCAGATAATATGCTTGTGCACAACTTGGGCTTGCTAGTTTAGTGGCATTCTCAAATTTCATGAACATGCTTTCTAGTAATTCGTAATGGTTTAAAAAAAAAAAAAAATTGGGGTGCTTTGGGGACCAGGGGGTTCATGCAATATCAGGCTCTGTTTAGGATTTGGAACATAGATGTGCTGTTTTGATAGTGCAACATGTTTGTTTTATCTCTGTATGGCATAACTTTTCTTGAACATGTTTTGAGGCAACTATTTGAAGTTTGAGTGGTTTTGGGACCAATTATTTTGTAGTTTTAAAGGGTGTTTGAATTATAAGAATTTTAAGAAGCAAAATAATTGTTTGTGTCAATCAAGTATTTTAAAAAGGATTTGCGCAGGGTTTCCTTTTCTTCTGCAAATCTTGTTTCTAATTCTTAATACAAAATCAATCTCGTTTCTAATTCTTAGTCCAAAAGATCAATTATTTCATAAATCAATTTTTCATCACATTTGTGTGGACTTATAGTATTTTATTTAGGGATAGGATTATTCAAACTGCACAACTCGTCCAATCCAAACCTATTCGCATACAAATGGACGGTTTTGTAGATATAATACAGGCGGATGCGGTTTGGAATATAGCATAATTGCGGGTTGCGGGTCTAATTCGCATCCGCAAGAATTCATCCGCACTTAGACCTTTTTCTTTTCTTTTCTTTTCTTTTCTTTTCTTTTTTAAACTTGGACCGTTGTTATTTTATTATTTCATTTTAGATGAATATAAAAGTTAATGAAGAATTACTTTTAAATAAGTTTAGGATTTTGATGATTTATTTTAACTGTATTATTGGGTAGTAGATAAATGAGATTGATGATCTAGTTTAGGATTTTAAAAGATGTGCTTATGTTAGTTTATAATTTGATTTAAAAGTTTAAGATTTTGAATAATTTGTCTGTGTTAGGAATTGATTTTGTTGTGTTGTTAATTTAATAAGTTTTAATTCATTAATTATTAATGTAGGAACATTTTAGAAAATGGGAGGAAAAAGATCCAAAATAAATATTTACAAAATGAGAAAAAAAAAAATTCAATCCGCAAACCGTCTGTACATCTGTGAATCCTTTTCGTATAAATCACAACTCGCACTACGGAGGGTTGCGGGTTGAATTTTTCTCAAATCATATACATACAGGCGGGTCCAAATCGATCTGCAAATCATCCAAAACTGAACCGTTATCACCCCTAATTTTATTTTATTTTTTTGAATTTTGTACCTAAACACAACATTAAAGATCAATTATTGGTTATCCCATACATGAATGATACAAATCAATATCTATATCTCATCATGTAAAGGTTTGTGTCTTTAGATTGATTTCTATATAATCACAAAAGACGACTAGAGCACCCAAAATGCAACTGCATTCAGCACCTCAATTGCAGAACCCCATAATCACAAAAGATGTATGACACTAGTTCTTATTTTTTTTTATTAGTATTATTAAGACAATATTATCACAATAACATTCTACATTAATCTTATCATCAAACAAGAGTCGACAAAGAGCTCTCAATTTCTAGTTTTGATTATCATCCCAATTGAAATGCCTCGGTAAATATGGGACGTCAATATTGTATTAAAGCCACAAGACAGCCTTCAACCTGATCAAACCCACCCACTCTTGCAAAAACATCCGCATTCGATTTCATTTTATAAGGCCATGAGGAAATAAAGATAGAAAAAATAAAATAAAAGTCACCATTAATGTTGTCACAAGCTAATTAAAAATGGAGAATTGGTTTGCCAATAGCAAAATAATTTACAAAAACATATTGTTTGCCGCGGTTGGTGAAGGGGTTGAGGGACAGACTGCTTGTCTGAACTCTTTACGGGTGCCTTTTCTTCAGCCTTCTGGACCTCTTGAAGGGCCTCTACTTAGAAACGAAGTATTGCAAGTTTGATGCACTCTGGCAGTAGCAAAAGGGACAGGAGTGGCAGCAGTAATCCCTCGTCCATTTATAAGCAATGCAGGAAATCTGGAGTGGCACAGCAGAGGACAGAACTAAAAACCTAGTTTGTTGGGGCATTCTGATGCCCTGTGTCCAGACTGCCCACAGTTGAAACACGCACCACCGAAGCTTCTGTTATGCACAAGGAATCTCATGTCAGATTTTGAGATGGAATGCTTATAATAGACGGTGTTATCATGTGACAATAATGCATCCTCTAGCGGCCTAGCCTCGACCTTGTTTACAACAAGTATTTTATTTATGCAATAAGAAGCCATGCATGTTTCCCATTTGTTGTGGCAAATTAAGTTGACATTCCATTAACAAGGTGAATGAGAGCACTCAACTAGTTCCCAAGCATGTGAATCTCCTAGTCCCATGTACTAAGAAATTACCATCTTTTTAAAGATGTTTGGATGGCAGGGATCAACAGGCAAAATGAGAATTTTGGGAGTCCCTCAAGGTCTACTTTGATCCTGTAAATGATAGGGGCATGTTTCTGAAACGTGTTTCATGCCACTTTTGAGCACAAATTTTGTCACGTGATTTGAAGGGGCTAAAACCACTTAATGCGCCTCATCTTGCACATTTGGGGGTCTCTCAAGGTCTACTTCACTCACATAAAAAATTGAGGGGCACATTTCCAAGTCCATGCCTCATTCCTTCACTCATTAAACTATCTTAAGCTAGACACTCATATGGTCCAACTAGACATGTCCATAATTCAAGAGCATGAGAAAATGGTTTGCAAGTGCATTAATACATGAAAAGAAATTCAAGATTACCTTTCAAGGCAGAGTGAGATTACTAAACTAAGCAGCAATCTCATTGCCACGCCCCCATGGGAAATGGGAATCTAATATTCCTAGACTAGTTAAGAATGAAAAAGAAAGGGGAGTCCACATCAGAAATATATATATATATATATATGTATATCACTTTCCCAAATCCCATTCTGGACTACACTAGATGCATGAATGACATTGATGACAGAATCTCATTACTAGTTGGTGGATTCCTTGTACTGAAATGGTTAAAACGCAAACAAAAAGGAAGTACCTGTCCCTATTTCCAAAGGATGGTGACGATGATCGCCCAGACCGTCTACCACCAATTAGCCAATCACTCCCACCGTCTCTTGAGCTTGGAGACCAACTACTGTTGCTTCTGTTGCCCCGACCACCACGTCTATAATCATACTCATCCATGTCATCATCAGAACCCCGACCCCAACCACGACCATGATCACGACCACGACCCCGACCCAGTGAGTTTCTGAAAGCTCCTCGTTCTTTTGAACCTCCTCGGAAACCCCTATCTCTGTTAGAAAACCTGCCATAATTATCACTTGGAGGCCCATCATCTTGTAACGTGGGTAGCTGCAAAACACAGATAAGCAGTACATATTCTAAGAGACCATACAAAAACATGGAAATGAAGTGATCAATACACAAATTAACTGCACATGATCCATATCAAAGCCAACTTAAAAGTACTGTATGTTGCAATGCAAGAGCTATAACGATAAACAGTGACCACAATTTGAATTCGACCTTAGTAATTTTAGAAATTGTGTTTCCAGGTGGTATCTGCCTATTCAGTAGCACTTTTGCAATTTCCTCTGGAAGATCAAAAACTGCTCCTTGAACCTGACATTAGAGATGTCAACAATTTGTTTTCAACAAAGCAATGAATCAATGGAGAAACGTTGGATTATAATCAAATTATCTGTCAGATATACACACCCTTTCATCAGCAATTAAGTGTATTTTTCCCACTACATCAGCAGCAGCAGAATAAACATCTGACAAGAATCCAGTGACAGATCTAGCAGACAAGAAGCCTCTAGTATAACTCGGATCACGTGTCAGCTGCAATGTCACCAATCCCTGCAGTTCAAGTTTACAGTTAGATCAAATGATCAGCAACTTGCAGGGGCTGGACGAAGATAGCGAAGAAACATAAAATTAACACAAGACACCAGAATAGGACATTGGGCAGAAACAAATTGCAAGCAAAAAGACCGCTCCCAACCAAACATGAGCCAAAGCATCAGAAATGAAGTCACAAATGTGCATACCACCTTCTACTAACTGATGGTCGTTGCAACATAATAAAAGCTTTGAAGCAATCATGGAAAAGAAGTTTAAAAAAATCAACAACAACAACGCCTAAATAGTATACATTAATGTGTGTTTGTGAGGGGAAAGATTGGGTATAGGCCTAATCTTTGGAATAGTGCACAAAGTGGTTGCCCCGAGATTTGAACACATAACCTCACAGTTATTAGGCCAAGGTTTTACCATTGAACCAATGGTCACCCTAGAAAAGAAGTTAAAAGTAATCATTTTATTTTTTCCTTTTGCTAGGTCACAAATAACTTCATCATTAATAAAGAGGAAAAAATTACAAATATAGTCATATTTATTATCAGTTTTGATCTTCAGAAACAGCCTTGAGACAAGATCCCTTAACTGAACTCAACAAACCATAAACCCAATCGCGTGGGGCCGACCACATGAATCTGTTTTCTCCATTTGGCACTATTGAAAAGCATATCATAAGTTAAATCTAGGGCAATAATGTCTCAAGGCAAGATCCCTAGCATGCAAAAATTTCTGTTATTATCAAGACTCTGTATGAACTGATTGAAAAGAAACATGCAAAGGACTAAATTTCACCAGAGCAACAGATTCATGCAATTACCCAAGCACGGTTATTGATCCACTGTCTTGAGCAAGTTAAATAAGTCAATTGCTAATAGTTAACTAGGCCATATGATTTCTAAGAAAAAAATCAGCAATCCCTCAACATAAAATTACATTTCAGCATCTTTAACGTAATGAATAGGCACATCAAGCACAAGAAAATTCTATGGACCTTTATTATCAGAATCTTACGATTCGCGATTCGATTCGCAATTTTTGCAAAATCGATACGTATCTATGGGTGAATCTATTTTGGAAGTGAATCTCAAGTGAATTGCACGATTCACGATTCGATTCATTTTTTATGATTCATGTAATTCTTAAAACTATCGTGTTCGACATATTTTCGACTCTTTTTTTTTCATCGTTTTAGTGAAAATGACATAATACAACTTTTAATAGCATTTAGTACCAAAATAACTAATATATGTACATGATTTGTTGTTATTTTAGTGATCATGGAGTTTTTAATAGAATCAAATCAGATTCAATCGGACCCAACATATTTTTAACCTTTCTTCTCATTTTTTTTCTTTAAAAAATCATAATATATCTTCTAAAGATATTTAAGATCAAAGCAACTTACATCATGAATTATCTATTGCTATATTATTAAATTAAATATAGTTGAATATTATATGGGTGAGGTCAGTTATACCTTTTAAAATGTTTTAGGCTTTAAAATAAAAGATTCTAGATAATTATTCCTTATTATTTGGTCATTGTTACTTCATAGTTGGTAAAGTATGTATGCTTATTGTCCAAGTATGAATGTCGTTCTTAAATTATTGTTACTTTAGAAATTGAGAGTTTGTATACTATTTTTATTAAGAATGGTTGATAAAAAACATCTAAAAAAGGGAATAGGTAAGATGGTGATCTTCTATAGGAACCTTTTTTAATTTCTTACCTATTAAACTATGTAATCATTATTCAAAACAACATTTTTATTGATTTAAATCCAAATATTTAATATTTATAAGATATATTTAACATTCAAGTGTGTAAACATTTTTTTAAGCAATTTACAAAAAGTGACCGAATCTTACGATTCAGGATTCGATTCGATTCACGATTCAGCATGAGGCCTTTCGATTCACAATTCAGTACGAGGCCATTTCGATTCACGATTCGAATCCCGATTTGACAACTATGCTATGGACCTAGATTACTGAAATTGAAAGCTATTGGCTTATGGTTTACCTTCTCATGTGTAATAAGAGACCGGGATGATGGAGGTTGAGAAAAACCACTTAGTTGTGCTATTGCAGCAGCAAGAGCACCCGTGCCTTGTTCTTCAATCAACTTTTGTGCAGTTGGGGTGAAGAACTCCACAGACTCGGGATGAACTCCACTAAGGGTAGCAACCACTTGCTCAGCTGATGACTCCAAAACCTCTTCAACGGATGGTGGACTAATAAATTCAAACTTGCACCCAACATCACGCTCAAGAGATCTGATTGTCCTCCGCTGGCTACTGGTGAACATCAGAATAGCTGTGCCTTCTTTTCCTGCCCTTCCTGTTCGACCAGAGCGATGCACAAAAGTCTCTGGATCATTGGGTAGTTCATAGTGGATAATCTGAAGGAGGAAAAGAGGCACATACTTAAATGATATGCTGAAATCACATTCCGTACTAAATGCTCAAAATAAATAAATCCACAAATGTGAAGTAACAATATTGAAATCAAAGGAAACCAATAAGGTTTAAGAGCAAATAAGTAAACCTATCTAATTGAAGTAGTTGCATGTAAAAAAATATAAACATTAACAAAAAGCAAGAATACTCAACACATAAGCTTCTTCGTGCATAATACACAAACAAAGCCAAAGTCTCAGGAATTATTACAAATAGCTATAGACATAAAAGCGTTAACCTACAGTGCATTAAACCAAAACAGATTAACACACATAATTGACACATATTAAGCATCAAAAATAGTATATATTGTTAGCACCAAATATTTCAGAAAACTGCAACCACAAGTTCAGATCTCTAAAGCAACTCAACAGACTAGACGTGTAAATTTGTTCACCCTTCAAAGCATCCCGTAAACCATTAGGTTGCATACAATAGGCAAGCAAAGTGGTTTGCCTACCAACAAATAAAGAGGGGAATAGAAAAAGGAATAAAAGAAAAAGAAAAAGGGTTCAGTACACAAGCCAATGCATTAAAAGAATGCGAGCCGAAGAGTATTATCAGAAATCTATAATGTTGGAGCATTCATACTCCACATCCTACCTTCAGCTTACAATGAAATGAACTTGGTTTAGTCACCACTAACAAGAAATATGACTCATTCTCACTAAATTCTTCAAACTCGTTTAAAAGCATTTCAGGAGTGCTTCATTTCAAACAACAGGATCATTCCATCTATCAATGAGAAAAAATATACAATGAGAGGAAAACACCTTGTAATCTATTACCGATTTATGTGTTAAAGTGACAAAGTTGCGCATTCAAATTGGAGCTAAACAGCGGAGTCATTCAAAAAGCCAATTCTTTCTACTTCATCCAGGAAAGACAACTTCACATATATTTCTTTACATGGCCTACTGAACTAAGAACTAGAATATATATGTATATATATATGAAGGGATATCATACTGACTATAACTCATAGAAAAATAATACGAGCACAATGACTCGAACTTATATAACAAAGGTTTTCTTCCACACTGTTTTTCTTCCAAATGTTGTACTGTTGCCAAGATGCAGCAAAAATAATATTTTACTTGTCTTATTTAATCGAAAGATTCCAAACCATGATTCTCATGATCTTTCTCTTTCTTTTATCATTTTTGGTAGGTAATAAGTGTGGAGCCTTCTGCACATATGACAGAATCTGATGTCTTTCATATGTCTGTAAATCAGACTTCCAAGAATATCTTATGTTTCGAAGTTTCAAGAAACTTGAATCTCTTGGGGTAAACACAAAATACATACATGATTTGACAACATCATATATTGATGAAGTAAACACAAGCAATGTGATCACATACTAAATCAACATTGGGGATATCAAGACCACGAGCTGCAACATCAGTGGCAACAAGCACAGTGAATTTTCCTTGCCTAAATCCATTTAATGTTCTCTCCCTCTGGTGTTGCGAAATGTCACCATGCAGTGCCTCTGAAGGAATGCTGCTTGTTAATGTCATCGAGACTTCATCTGCATCACGTTTTGTCTGTGTGAAAACAATGGCCTTCCCACCCTTTGCATAGACCTGAAAATCATGAAAATGGTAAAAGCTGCAGAAACTTCTACTCACATGTTCCTTCAATTCAAATAATAAAAACTCAACCTCTATTTACCAAACATTTTTTAAAAAAAGTAAAAAAGAGCAAATCAGCTTCTATTTTTCTCAAACATAAACAGAAGCAAGGTAAACTGCTAATTCATACCATTATAAGATCACTAAGAATAGTGCGCTTTGAAGTTGAGGTGGTTGGTATAGCAAACAGCTTAATTCCCTCTGCCAGCTTTTCATCTTGGTCACCAACCTACAGAGAAAAGCAGAATGAACAACAGAATAAGTTTGCGGGGAGAATGACATTGACATTAATAATACATTAATGTTTCTCAAGGCAATAAAGCCAAATATCTACCAACCTTTAAAAATAAATGTACTGATATAACAGTGACCAAGAAACAGAAGTGCCCATGTTCAAAAAAAAAAAAGGTGCCAGGACAATGAACACAGCAATGTCATACTATGATACTAAGCTATTTAACATGGGATGGGGGACCCACTATGTCACCACCTTAAACCCTTGGACCACCATCTTCTTTCTTGAATCGAAAGCAATAATGGAAGTAAGCACATTGCGTTATTGAGTCCTACCCGATAAGAGATCATGGTGAGTGTTGCGATTCCAGTACGTTTTGAACTAGGTACTGATCGTGTAATACAACATCCATTCCAAAACTTCCACATGGCCAATTCATTTTGGGGTTCTTCGTATCCAGTACGTTTTAAACGTTTAATGCCACTTTTAAACCAAGTGAATGTGAGGTTTAATATTTTCCTCCCCAAAATTTCTACATCCATTGGTTATATATGTTAGGTATGTACTCCAGATATAAGTCCCTTTAGCAGCTGCAGCAGCAGCAGCATCTTTCTTCTTATCTCATAAAAATTACAATAGGACAGACTAACGAGCGGTCACATTTTAGTCATACTAGTTCTTTTCCCCAACAATAGTGACTTTTTATCCTCAACATCAGACACAATTATTCAACCTCACGAAGTCTAACCAGATCACACTCCAATCTAAACTTCTTACATTGACTTACTAAATGAATTGCACGTTTGCACTATATACGAGGGCATAATTAAGATTCTATGTAGGACAGTAGAAGCAAAACAAATATGAGATGTGAAGTACTACATTGAAACATGCTCAACCAGCAGGAGCTTAAGAATGGCATTTAGATTGTTAGGAGGGAAGCCCATATCTTGAAGCATGTGCAGGGGGTACGAAGTGATACTATTAATATATATGCTTTGATGTTAATATAGCCAAAGTGAAAATGGAAAATCAAATTTCATACTGAAATCAACAGTGGAGAACATATACTACAGTTGTTGGCATTCTAATATGAAATTGGAGAATCAAAAATTTCAGCGACAATAATAGATTAAGATTACATAGTCTAAAAGGACAGCAAACGAAGCTAATTCTAAAGCACATCATATGAAGTTGTATGAAGGATACAACTTCATATGGAACTTCATTATTAAAAAATATATCGATACATATGCATCCATGCCATGCTCAAAATGCTGGACAAAAACACAAGGCTAGGAAAAATAATAATAATAAATAACTTACCAAATCAATGGTCAAAGGATTGTCCAAATATTTCCTGGCCAATTTCTTTACCCAAACAGGCATAGTTGCGGAGAAAAGCATGCTTTGCCGCTTTGCTGGAAGCTTTTCTAAAATCACTTCCACATCTTCCTCAAAACCAACCGCAAGCATTTGATCGGCTTCATCAAGGACCAAATATTGAACTTCCCCCAATTTCAGGCTGCCACTGTTGATTAGGTCAATTATTCTACCTGGAGTTCCCACCACCACATCAACGCCTCGGGAAAGAGCATTTTGCTGCGTATTATAAGAAACTCCTCCATAGACACAAACTGTGTTCAAGTACGATGCACACTCTTTAATCTCTTTCTCTACTTGCCTTGCTAATTCCCTAGTGGGCGCAAGAACCAACATTCTTGGAAGTCGTCCACGCCTTCAAACAAACAAAATGCACTATTCAGAAAAAATATCATAATAGAAGAAGCCTCAAATGTGAATGATATGCCGGTTACCTCTGAATACTTCTTTCTTGGTCATCTTCACTAAGCTGTTTAATTATCGGAATTCCAAAGGCTAATGTCTTCCCTGTCCCAGTCTTTGCACGAGCAATTATATCTCGACCTTCCAATGCAGGTACTAGCACAGCTCTCTAACATGATCAAAGGGAAAACAAAAACCAAAATATGCCTTTTGTGAAAATATGTTTATTCCACAATAAAGCTCTGTAAACTGGAGCCAAACACTAAGTCTACCAAATTGAACCTCAAAAAAAAATACGCCTAATGAGGTATCACATTTCTTGGTCAAGTCTGGCTATGTCTTCTTGTGGAGGCTCCTCTCTCTCTCTCTCTCTCTCTCTCTCCCCACCCCACCCCACCCCACCCACCCAAAATTATAATAATTATAAGTAAATAAATAAATAAACCAAAAAAGTTCCATATCATACATCAGATACAATGTAAAGCACGCAATAATAAAATGCAAATATGGCATTCCTCAGTCCTACTCACTGAAGACCATGAATAGATGCAAAGAAGGCTAGTACAAATATTATTTTTAAAAAAATAAAATAAAAGCCTCCTGGTGCTTGATGTTAATTTCTGAACACGGATGGATTCACATTGTAGCCCAATGGGGTCATGACCGCCATCATGTTTTCAAGGAATCCTATATATAAAAAGTTTAACTAAGTTTGATGCATTGACCCCTCAAAACTCTAATAAGATTTTACCAATGATAAAATTGTATGACCCACCCAAAAAATGAGAGAATAAAGTGGTATGACAAAAAAAAAAAACTAGTACATACATTTCTTTAATTATATAATAATTTATTTTTGAAGAAATCTCACTAACTCCTTTGATTTGTTAAGAACCATTACTTAGTAACATTTATCAAATGTTCTTGCTTTTTATTGCTCTCAATGGTTTATGAAATGACCCATTTTTTTAAACCCGTTTTATTTGTATTATTGACATCACTCTTGCACCTTAGTTACGTGTCATCATATTTTGTCGTTTGTGGATTGACTATTTCAACGTTTGGATTATCTACTTAGAATTGAACTTGGGACTATATTTGGATTTGGGAGTATTAAGTTTTGACCTAGGTTGAGCGTTTGATTCAGTTTGGTCAGGTTTCATCACAGGAACCGTTCAAGCGGTGGTGGGACTGTTCAAGCCATCCTTTCATGCTCCCATCTTGGGAGTTCAGTTTGCCTCTGACATGACTGCTCAAGCCGTCTTTTCACTCAAGCGGTCATGTCAGAGGCAAACTGAACTTTTTCACTAGTTGACAATCAAAAAGCAACTTTTTGGTCTCCTCTACAATAGGGGCAGTCGGGTACAAAACTCACTTTTCAACTTCACTCTCACTCTCTACACCTCTGTCTTTTCTTCATTTTGAGGCACTTGTAGGGAGATTCACATTTCCTGTGGAAGAGGAAAGTTAAAGATTGGGCCGAGGGTGTCGCTTCCATCCGAAAAGGATTTTCATTTGGGGCACTTTGGAATTTCGGGTTTCTTCTCTCTCATCACCTTGGTAGGGAATTCTATCCATCTCTATGTAATTCTATGGTTATATGTGACAATTTCTAAAAATATTTACATTTGAAGAGTAATACTACATGCATTAATTTAAAGTTTTGTATAAATGAAGTGAGCGTGTTGGAAATATGATGTCATAATTTGAAGGGTAAATTACAAATACACCCCCTGTGATTTGACTAAAATACGAATCGCCCATTATGATTTTGGGAATTACATTCCACTCCTAAGATTTCTAATTTCATAACAAATCACCCCTTTTATTAATAATCATCAAGTCAATTAACAGCTTTTAATGATGCTAGAAATATGTTTCAATTAATAATTAGATAATTTTATTATTATACAGGACATCAATTATGAATTTCATTTTTTAGTTAATTATGTTCAATAAAAAATTCTAACAAAAGAATATTTATAATTTTTGAAACTACAGGGGCAATATGTACTTTTAGCTTATTTGTAATTTACCCTAACTTGAAATACCTTCTAGCAGCTTTTATTTAGGCCCATTTGTTTCAATGTAAAATATTACACAAAAAAAAAATATATATATATATATATATGTATATATTTTAAATTGATTTTGCAAAGAAAAAATGTTCTTTCTTTTTGGCGTTTGGTTGACCATTGAAACAAAAATATTTTATTTTTTAAAAAAGAAATTTTGATTCAATAAAATATACTTTTTAATGAGTTAGAGACATTTATTTAAAAGTTAAATATGTCAAAAAAATAGTGAGTAAAACTCAACTTTATAAAAATTAATTCATAAAATTTTAAAAGTAAGTCATTTTAAAATATTTTTCATAAAAAATGTTATTTTTAATTGATTTACTTAAGTTTTGTTCAACCAAATAACCAAATAACGAAAAATGATTTTTCGTCAAAACAAACGAGCATAATAAATAACTTGTTGAATGCGAATAGTTCTATATCTTATGTAACCCCTAGAATTCATAGATTCAAAATTGCGAAATTGATTAATGTTTCTTCAAAATTGAGCCAATTTATAAGGGATGAATGATATAAATTGTGATTTTAAGAAAACTTTTGAAAAGGGAATTTGGTGAAATTGAAATGTCTTGAAAATAATTGGTATTTGGATAATACAATGGAAGTCGGCAATTTTATTCAAATGTGAAGAGTTTTGGTGTTTGTGTGCTTCATATCAAATACATAACACACACAAATCAAAGAGACACATACAAAATCATTGAAGACGTACTTGAATGGGGAAAAGGCTTGTAATCCCTCGATTGTGGAGAGACTCAACGAGTCTACGAGGAAGACCTAGTTTCGAAACAACAAGTTCATCTTCACTACCAGCTCCGGAGGACGTGGATGGCTCAGTTTCAGACTCATAATCCTCTAGAGAATCTTCATCGAAACCACCTAAACCCTTAAAGGCCTCTTCGCTCAATACTGAAGAATTGGGAGTCGCAACAGCCGAAACAACAAAAGAGAGTCCACCACCACCACCACCGCAAGCACAACCAGAGAGTTGCTTAGGGCGGAAATGGGTAGCGGAGAAGGGGAGAGAGAGGGGCAGAGTGGTGGTGGTGGTGGTGGTGGTGGTTCTGGTCTGGTAAATGGAGGAGACTCCGAGAATGGAAGACGAAAAAGCCATGGGTCCGGTGGCGTAGAAGAAGATAGTGGTGGAGTAGAAGGATGAGAGATGATGAGGCCACAAAGGTTTTTCTATTGGAATATGGCGCTATAAACCCTCCACCTCAATAGTAGGATATTTCTCGTCTTGGGGAATTACATGTCTGAAATTTTTTCCAAAATTATAATTATAAAATCATCATAAAAAACAAATTTAGCCCTTGTTTAGGCGTGAGGATCCTCTGAAGTACAAGCCTGAAGTGATCTCCTAGAGTGATCTAATCCGACGGCTGAAATTAAAACCAATTAAAACGACGTCGTTTTGATTAATAAGTTGAAAAAATAAATAAATAAATAAAATTCATCTGCTTCTTCTTCCAACATCAGTCTCGTAATTCTCTTGAATCCTCGTAGCTTCTCCTTGGCTCTCCATACTCGTTTGCTTCCAAAAATCAAAAAAATAAATTATAAACAATCCCAAATCAGTGTAAACAAAAGAGCAAGCAAAGATTGATCTAGTAGAGTATATATAGATATAGATACAGATATAGCACCGCCACTGTGATTGTCAAGAAAACCCCCAAAACTCATGAAATAGATCTTTTTTTGACCTGTAAATAAGGCAACTCACTCAATCACCCACCCTTTCTCTCACCTGTTTCTCTCTCTAGATTTCTTCACTCTTTGCTAGACAAATCTAGAAACACTTGTTGAACGAGTGTACAGACACTCGCCTTCACAGATTAGCATCATTTTTTTTACCCAACTCAGAAATTTGGAGAGAAACAACAATCTAAAATACAGTGTTTGTTGTACTATACACAGAAAAACAAAAGATTAATTTGGGGGAAAAAAAAAACAAAGAAAATTGGGGAGAAGAGAGGTAGAGGGGGCAAACCCAAATGTCTCCAACATCCTCTCTGGTGTGATTTTCTGAGAGAAAGAAAGAGAAAGAAGATAAGCAAAGAAAGCTGATTTTTTGTTTTTTTTTTTTTTCAACTTAACCAAAACGACGTCGTTTTAGTTAGTTTTAATTTCAGCCGTCGGATTGGATCACTCTAGGAGATCACTTCAGGTTTTTACTTCAGAGGATCCTCACGCCTTGTTTAGAAGGCGTTAAGATCCTCTAGAATACTGCCTCTATAGTGATCTCCTACGGTGATTTATGAATAATCGACATGTGTCCCACTTACTAAATTAAGAGTTGAGATTTAAATTCACAAAAATGATATCGTTTTGATGAGTAATTTGAAAAAAAAAAAAATTCAGCTTTTCGGGTTTCTCTTTCACTTGGTTCGTGGGAGAGTTAGAGAAAGAGAAGGACCAAAGCAAGAGAAGGGACCAGAGCTTTGATTTTGAGTTAAGACTCTACTTCATTTCAGAAATCTTTTGATTCAAGTAAATAGTGAGTGGTTCTTGTTCTTGATCTATACACAAATCAGCCCTTGATGATGATAATGAAAACAACCCTTGTTTAAGTCAGCCCCGTCGCGGGCATGGCTCCGTCACTGTCGCGGAGATATAGAAGACCTTTTGTCGCCGATCTCCATGTCAGTTGGCCGGATCTGCTGATTTTGTTGCTCATTTTGATTTTGATGATGACGATGATACAGATCTGAATCAATCTTTAGTACTCACACTATGGGGTTTGTAAATATATATATATATATATATATGCATATAGAAATACATATTCTCATTTTGATTTTGATGATGATGATGATATAGATTTGAATCGATCTTTGGCGCTCACACTATGGGGTCTGTATGTAAGATTTGATAATATATGTAACCATAATAATAATGCAGAATTAAACTTTACAGGATCTTGAATTCAATACAACTCAAGAATAAAACGAACATACCTTTGTCAGCCATTAAATTAAAGAAGTTAAGAAAATACCCCTAATAGTTGAACCTTTAATTCTTGGCTCACATTCTTCTCTCTATCTCTCTTAATTAGGATGACTATAAAACTTAGAGTGATGGAAAAATACTCATGATATGAAAGGGGAGTCACCCATCCTTATATAGAGGAGAGAAGAGGGCTAGATAAACTCTATCAGAAAAATTTCTATCCATCAAGGTTTCCTTCTTATCTTAGAAGAGTAATTATATTAAAATTTTAATTACTAAACTTTATATTAAATATTGGCTTTATCTAATTATGGAGTCCAAGTAAAATAAAGCATGCAAAAAATATGTAGGCTATTGGGCCACACTAGAAAATAAATCCAACATTCTCCCACTTGGCCCATTAAGCCGATTATGATACAATTATGAGTTTTTCCAAAACTATGCAACTTATAAAATTTTTGTTCTTTTTTTTTTTTTTTTGACTCATTGGATTCCACACTAAAAACTTTGACACATGATCACGAATTTTTTAAAAAAAATAGTTAATAAGTTCAGATATGTTAGAAACTATAATACTGTGATTACTTCAGATCAGCAATGTGAGTCATAACGGTTATATAACATTTATGTCATATTTCCTTCTATGCACTACACCATCAATAACCTTCACCAACCTAGTCCATTATTGAAATATGTAATTATTTGCCTGAAAGGCCCCTGTAATTTGTCTTTTTAAGGCATTTCCTGTTTATCAATATTCAAATCAATGTGTATATACATTTTTAGAAACAGAAAAAACAGAAAAAAAAATTATTATTGCGCAAATAGTGTCAAATAAAAATAAGCACTCACGATTAATCATACACATCAAGAGTTTCTTAAAAGACCTATTCTGATAGCATGCTCTTTGTATGTCTTTGGTAGCAATCCCTTTGTGAATGGATCAGCAATCATAAGAGATGTGCTTAAGTTTTCAATTAACACTTGTTGTTTTTGAACTCTTTCTCTAATAACTAAGTACTTTACTTCCATGTGTTTGGAACCACTGGAATACTTTCCATTCTTAGAGAAGAAAACTGTTGTGGTATTGTCACAATATATCTTCAGCGGCCTGGCAATTGAGTCAACAACACCAAGTCCTGAGATGAAATTTCGCAACCATAAAGCATGATTTGTAGCCTTAAAGCATGCCATAAACTCAGCCTCCATAGTAGATGAAGCAATAGTGGACTGCTTCATACTTTTCCATGAAATTGCTCCACTTGCTAGTAGAAAAACAAAACCTGATGTAGATTTTCTACTATCAAGGCAACCAGCAAAATATGAGTCTGAGTATCCGATAACTTCCAACTATTCTGATCTCCTATAGGTGAGCATATAGCACTTTGTTCCCTGAAGATATCTCATAACTTTCTTCACTGCTTTCCAATGTTCCATTCCAGGATTACTTTGGAATCTTCCCAACATTCCAACTGCAAAACTAGCATCTGGCCTGGTACATGTATGGGCATGCATCAAGCTCCCTACAGCTGATGCATATGGAATGTCCTTCATTTGTTTTATTTCCAAGTCATTCCTTGGACACTATTTTTCACTTAATTTATCGCCCTTCATGACGGGTGCATCATTGGTTGAACAAAATTGCATATTGAATCTCTCCAAAACACGATCAATATATCCTTTTTGAGATAGTCCTAGCAATCCTTAAGATCGATCTCTAAAGATCTCTATGCCAATAACATAGTTTGCCTAACCCATATCGACCATTTTAAGGTTCTTGGAGAGATATTCCTTGGTTTCATGCAATAAGCCAAGGTCATTACTAGCTAACAAAATGTCATCCACATATAGTACCAACATAATGAACTTGCTCCCACTAACCTTCAGATATATGCACTGATCAACTGCATTTTCCTTAAATCCGAAAGAGGTAATGGTATCATTAAACCTTAAATGCCATTGCCTAGATGCTTGTTTAAGGCCATATATGGATTTCTTTAATTTGCAAGCTAAATGTTCTTTACCTTTCTTTGCAAATCCTTCAGGGTGCTCCATATAAATTTCTTCATCCGAATTCCCATTTAAAAAAGCAGTTTTCACATCCATTTGATGCAACTCTAAGTCATAATGAGCTACCAATGCTAGGATGATTCTAAGCGAGTCCTTCTTAGATACTGGAGAGAAGGTCTCTGTATAGTCTATGCCTTCTTTTTGAGTAAAACCTTTGGCAACAAGTCTGGCTTTAAATCGTTCGATATTGCCTTTTGCGTCACGCTTGGTCTTGAAGACCCATTTACACCCGACCTTTTTGCAGTTATTAGGCAATTCGACGAGATCCCAAACACTATTCTGTTCCATGGATTTTAACTCTTCATTTATAACATTGACCCATTTAGAAGAATCATCACTATTCATGGCTTGTGAAAATGAGACTGGATCTTTGTTAATCCCAATATCAAAATCAGATTCCTGTAGATACACCATGTAATCATCTGAAATGGCAGGCTTTCTTTCCCTCTGAGATCTTCTCAGAACTGCCGGTTGTGGTGGTTCTACAATATTTTCAATGGTGGTATCTTCATGAAGTGGTGAAACATGGGGTGGTGAAGGATTTTCATTATGTTGTTCGTTTCCCTCAGCCTGTGGAATAGTCTGAGGAACAAAAAATTTTCGATAAAGGTTAAATGTTGGCACATCCACCCTAATTTCCTCGAAATTCACCACTCATGTTTTCTCACTCCCACTGATTTCACCATTCTCTAGGTGTCATTATTGTACGCTTAACAATGAGAGACTAATTCACATTCTCATGAGGGTCACATAATGATGCTATACTTTGCACTTATATCGTAGATTCTGGATCACTTCCAATTCATAAGCAACATATCAAATTAACTTCACAATTCTATCTTGTATGTAGTTGCTCTTATATTTACTCAGAATCCATTCTTCAAGAATGAACATAAACTCTTTTGGGTAAATGACTTACTTTACGTGCTCTCTTATCAATAGCATACACCTTTGTTTAATCATTCTTATATGTTAACATAGTTGCCTTGCCTTGTAATTAACATAGTCCTAATGGTAACTGTTACATCATTCCCATGAGTTGACATAATTAACGTAAGGTTAACAGGACATTCCTGATAATTAGTAACGAAAAGTAAGTACATTTTCGTTAGATTATAGATGACTTTATTGGTTTCACAATTTCACAGTTCGGCCCTTGGCCTGAGGGGTTCACACATTCACAAGTTCCTTTGATGTTTTCATAATT